TGATGTATCTCACAGGAGAGGGCGGAAAATCACTGGCCAACATTACGATGGACTATACGATCAGTGTTAGAAGCCTAATGCTTCGCCTATAAAAATCATTTGTTCTGATTTTCTTGATAATTTTCTTACACCGAGTAGTTGGGCAGTATAGCCTTGGGGGAGTGGGATGATGTTTCATTTACACTCCAATAAATAGGTCTTACAACAGGCTTTGAAGGGGCTTCATGGGGAACACGATGGAACGATCACACCGTTTGCAGGTATGGGTGGTGCCGACAGCGAAGATGAAGGGAAGGGGATAGCTTACCCATTCTTGTGGTAGTTTGTTTGAATCCACTTTGAAGCTCTGGAGGACAATTCAAAGCCTCCCGCAATTTCTTTCAAGTAGAAAAATGGAGTTAAAATTTCTAAAAGTTATAAGATGAGTCGGGTCGAGTCGACCGCTTAAAAATCACTCATGAAGTCTTCTCACGACATGGAAAAACCGACCGAGGTCTGTCACTTCCTTTTAGAAATGAACCAATCTCGGACAAGCTCACACTCCATGCAATTCAATCGGGCCTGTTGCCGTTACACCTCTGCGAACCATAGCGGAGCGGATACCCTTTTTACAAGCTGAAAGGGACATTTCACGTGTCGTAAAGATCGTAAATCATCATGAAATTAGCGCCGAAGAAAGTGACGTGTAAACGATGTATTACACCTGAGAGCACATAGCATTTCAGCTGTTTAAATACGACTCGGAGCAAAAAGTCCGCTTTCTGTCTACCTGTTTGAATAGCATTTCGCTGTTCTGTGGGAACGGATAAGGGCTCTGTGGATGTCATGAAATCATATCGGGTTAGCCCATAAAAGGTGGCGTCTTTTCTTACATGAAAATTTGTGTGAAAGTTGAAAGTTTGTCTCTTGGCAGCTTCTCCGACGCTCGGCAAGGAATAACCTGCTCTTCATGATACATGCTCGGAATTTCAAAGTGATCAAGTCTTTGCTGAAATTGAGGGCGCTACAGCTGACTAGCGAAAAGGCAGAACCTGCGATTATTCGCCATCTCAGATAGTGGATTAGGGGTTTCCATATAGACGACAAGGGGTTGAGTAACTCGACAGTGAAAAAAGCACAAAAAACATGCCACCTGCCCTAGATAGAACCCCATTTTGATCCCAGTTTGTACGTGCCCAATTAACTCTATCTCCCACACTACGCCCTCATACGCGCAGCTGTTTCACGG